CAGTTGGTCCCACTCCATTTTCTGCCTTGGGTTCTGATCCCCCAGTTAGCTCCCCATCAAGGCTGAACCTTGGTAGGAGACAGCCGCTAGAGGAGAGGGATTTCCAAGCAGGATTAAGGTTCAGGATTAAGTCGGGGCATGAAAAGGGGTCGGGTAGGGAGGGCTGGGAGGGCTGGCGGCTGGGCTAATCCCAGAAGCTAATCTCTGGCTCCTCCTTCCTCCGTCAGTTAACGGCCTTGACATTTCCCAGCCCTCAAATCCCTTTCTTACCCATCACCCAGTCTCAGAGGGAAGCACTCTCTCCATTTTATAGGTGAGGAAATTGAGACTGGGAGCCCAGTGACTTCTTTCTGGTGCCGTACAAAGTATTCCAGTCTGGGAATGTGGCCACTTCTTACCTCTGCAGCACAGGAGAGGGCTTGGAAAACCACAGTGCAGACTGCTGGTCTCCTGACACCCCCCAACTTGCCCATGTACTGAATGAACCCTGCTCAGAGCTGTCTGCAGGGAGCCTCTGCTTTAGTGACCACTGGAGATGGTATTCCCAGCCCTTTGCCAGGCAGGGGGAAGGCTGGGGCAAGGGGACCCTCTTAGAACCTTCCTATCTTCACTTCCACCCTCCTTTCGAGGCCTCCCCGTGGCTCCCCACGGCTGCTCCAGCCTCCACTCCAGTAGCTCCATGCTATAGTCCTGGGGCAGGAGCTGGGGGTGGGGAGCTCTGGTCCCTGGATGCAAGCAAGTGCTTCTTATTTGAAATAACTTCAACCTTAACCAAACTTTCGAGGACCAATCCACAGGGATCCCCTTTTCCAAAAGGTCAGACAAGAGGCTCTCCCTCTCTGGACTCCCACAGACCTCCTGGTTAGTTTTTCTAATGTATGCGGGAAAGGGAAGGATACTCATAGAGACTGGGTGCCTACCACATATATACTCAACTCATTTTAATTCTCATAACTCTTTGAGGGTAGGACTTGGTAGTCTCCCCTTACAGATGAGGAAGCGGAGGCTTGGATGGGTTAAATGAACTCTCCAGGGTTACCTAGCAAGTAGTTGCATACAAGGACACTGGTCAGTATGACATTCAAAACTGGGGATCTACACTGTCTCTCTTTGGTAGGAATTTGGTTAGTCTGGCTCTGAGGTCCTCCTGTAAGGGCAGGGAACCCCAGGAGACCTGGGCTCCTCTCTAACCCCTCTTCTGCTGCACCCGCCAGAGCCGGCCCGGCACCGTGGACGCACCCCTAGGCCGCTGTGGCCCCAGCCCCGCCTGACAGGATGAGCGGCTCAGATGCGGGGCTGGAGGAGGAGCCAGAGCTCAGCATCACCCTCACACTTCGGATGCTGATGCATGGGAAGGTGAGTGGGTAGGGGGTGGGGTGAGGCCTGGCCGGCCAGCTCTTTGATCTCCTGCCTCCTGTCTCTGGTAGAGCCCCTGTCCCAGTGGAGGGGCAGGGCCTGGGGCATTGGTGTCCCCTGACTCTACTCTTGTCTCGTTTGCAGGAGGTTGGCAGCATAATTGGGAAGGTAGGTGCCCAGTTCTGTTCTGTGTAGACTTCAACCTGAAGCCTTAGGCCAGGTGAGGGGGCAGTGACCACTCAGGCTAAGAGCCGTTCTGTATTTTGTTTCCCACAGAAAGGAGAGACTGTAAAGCGAATCCGGGAGCAGGTGAGGATGGAGTTTGGGAGAGCTGCCCAGGGTACCTGGTTTGGAGGGGAGGGGATATCCCTACCCACATTTTCCCTCCGACCCCACTATTTGGGACCAGTGACTGCTCTTGGAAAGTAGCTGTTTCCAGCCTTGGCTGGGGCCTGGTGAGTGGGCAGGCAGACAGGTTCCTGGCAAGGGAGTGGAGAAGGAGACCTGCTGCCCAGCCTTTCTGTACCCACAGAGCAGTGCCCGGATCACCATCTCTGAGGGCTCCTGCCCTGAGCGCATCACCACCATCACTGGCTCCACAGCAGCCGTCTTCCATGCAGTCTCCATGATTGCCTTCAAGCTGGATGAGGTCCGTGGGAGGCTGGGGTGGGAGGCCAAGGGAGCTTCCCTGGGGCAGGGGAACAGGGTTCCAACTCCAGGCAGTGGCTGTAGGTGGCAGGAGAGGCCAAGCCTGGGGCAGGGTTCTTTCATTAGGGTAGGATTTGGGGAGGGCTTCCCTCCTTCAAACCCCAGCAGGAAGGTGCTCTGAGGGTGGGGCAAGCACAGCCAAACCGCAGTCTTCCTGCCCAGGACCTTTGCGCTGCTCCTGCAAATGGTGGAAATGTCTCCAGGCCTCCGGTGACCCTGCGCCTTGTCATCCCTGCAAGCCAGTGTGGCTCACTGATTGGGAAGGCTGGCACCAAGATCAAGGAGATTCGAGAGGTGAGGAGAAGGGAGATACCACCCTCAGGGAGTCCTACACTCCACTTCAGAGAGTGGATCTGAGCTTATGGCTGCCTGTCCCCTGGGGAGCTCCAAGCCTGGGCAGCCCTGGTCTGGGTTACGAGGGCAGCCAGAAGTGGCCCCTGTTCTGTTTGCAGACCACAGGTGCCCAGGTGCAGGTGGCGGGAGACCTGCTCCCCAACTCTACAGAGCGTGCTGTCACTGTGTCTGGGGTACCTGATGCCATCATCCTGTGTGTGCGCCAGATCTGCGCTGTTATCCTGGAGGTGCTGCCCTGGTGCAGGGAGGGGGCGGGGATGGGCCCTGGCCTCTCTTGTCAGGCCCCTAAGTCCTGTGCATTATGGCACTGGGTGGAGGCAGGGCAGGGCTGCAGGGATGGCCTGGGAACTCCAGGGTGTTGGGATGCATTTACCCTGGGGGGGTCATGAGAAGAGTCTTGAAAACATGGGCACTTGGGAGATCCAGGGGGGCCTGGAGGGTCCTGACAGAGCCTCCCGCATTTGTGCCTTCTAGTCCCCACCCAAAGGAGCTACTATCCCATATCATCCAAGCCTCTCCTTAGGTACCGTCCTTCTCTCTGCCAACCAGGTGAGGTGGAGCAGTAGGAAGGGGGAGAAGCATCACCAGAGAAGGGGGCTTGAGATGGGGGAGGGATGGAAGAAGGACTTGGAGGTTGGGTGGGGAGAGGAGTGACTGGCCAAACTGGTCTGACTTGTCACAGTAACCCCCTTTCACCCACTTTGTCCCCCACAGGGCTTTTCTGTCCAGGGTCAGTATGGGGCTGTGACACCAGCTGAGGTGAGTAACCATAGCCCTGAGGGACCCCTTCCCAAACTAGGCCTCTTCTGACTTATGACCCTCTTCTTTGGCACAGGTTACCAAGCTCCAGCAGCTCTCGGGCCACGCAGTCCCCTTTGCCTCACCCAGCATGGTGCCAGGTGAGCAGCCCTGCAGGAGGAGGCAAGGGCACACTCCAGGGCACAGGCAACCCCCTTGGAATGTACGGAGGCAGGAAAGGCCCAGAATCACATCTGATCCCTCTTCTCCTCCCTCCCAGGACTGGATCCTGGCACGCAGACCAGCTCACAGGAGTTCTTGGTTCCCAACGACGTGAGCAGGGGCTCCGGTAGTTTGAGGGTGGGTAGCGGGGGCTTGGGAGTCTGGGCCTGGCCTTGGGTTGAATTGTACTCTCCCCCCAGCTGATTGGCTGCGTGATCGGGCGCCAGGGCAGCAAGATCAGTGAGATCCGGCAGATGTCAGGGGCACATATCAAGATCGGGAACCAAGCAGAGGGTGCTGGCGAGAGGCATGTGACCATCACTGGTTCCCCTGTCTCCATCGCCCTGGCCCAGTACCTCATCACTGCCTGGTGAGTGTGGGGTGGGGCTGTCCCAGGTCACAGGGTTTATGTGCCTGTGCAAAGCATACTTGGGGTGGGAAAGCTTATCTCCCTTCTCAGTCTCTATCTCGGTGCATCCTCTGCCTCCCCACCCCTGCCTTACCCAATCCGTGTCTCCCCATCTCCCCTCCACATCCATTCCTTGTGTCTTTTCCCATCCTGTCTTTTTCCACTGGGTTTTGGCCTCCCTGCATCTCCTCTCACCCTGAACCATACCTGCTTATCCTTTCTTCCTGTTTACCCCCACTCTCCTGCCATTCCTATTCTCTCCTGTCATTGTTCTCGATTCCTCTCTGTCTTTCATCTAATCTCCCCCTATATTTGCCCTCATTGCCCCTCTCTCACTCCCTCCTTCCCCTGCATCTCCCCCCATATCCCTCTCTCCAGTCTAGAAACGGCCAAGTCTACCTCTGGGGGGACACCCGGCTCGGCCCCCACAGACCTGCCTGCCCCCTTCTCGCCGCCCCTGACGGCCCTGCCCACAGCTCCCCCAGGCCTGCTGGGTACACCCTATGCCATCTCCCTCTCCAACTTCATCGGCCTCAAGCCTGTGCCCTTCTTGGCTCTACCACCTGCCTCCCCAGGGCCGCCGCCGGGCTTGGCGGCCTACACTGCCAAGATGGCAGCAGCCAATGGGAGCAAGAAAGCTGAGCGGCAGAAATTCTCCCCCTACTGAGGCCGGCTGAGGCACAGGGGCAGGCAGGACCACCGGTAGGGGCTGCCTCTGCACCCTACCTGCCCAAGGAGACTCCACCCTGGGGTCCCAAATGCCACTAATGCCCAGACGCATGGATGCACCCCCCCCACCTGGCCCTGATTTGTGGGAGTAACTCCTCTTAGAGCGGGAGCAGTTTCTGGCCCAGGGTCTGGGAGCCGCAGCAGCCCCAGGGTAGGGGGGGTTCCACCCCTTCTAGCTCTATGCTCGGATGCAGGGAGCATCCTTAGTGCCCTCACTTCAGAGGGTCACTCATGCACTCCCCATCCCTTAGGGCTTCCCAGTCTCCTGCCCCCCTGTGGGGATCAGGGAGGAGGGCTGGGGGGTGGCTGGGGGCCATGCTTCTCTCCCCACCTCCCTGCAGATTCCTGCTGCTTCCACTGATACCCTTTTGACTGGAATGGACTGGCTGGGCTTGGCAGAGGGCAACCCAAAGAGGGGACCCTGCTGGGCAGCTGGGGGAGTGGCGTGGAGGCAGGGGCCGAGTTCTCAGCAGCAGACACTCTGTACAGTTTTTTCAATCCCTGTTTTTGAATAAATATTCTCAGAGACCAGGAAGCTGTGAAACATTGTGGGTGTTGGCAAAACCTCCAGAAAATGGGTGTGGACAAGGTCCCGGAGGACCCCATCTGTGAATCCACCAGTCCCCATTGGGCTTTGGCCCCTTCCACATGCCAGTTCTGGGGCTTCAGGGCCCTTTGGGGTCATGTTGTCCAGCCTCCTGCCTCTGGCACCACACTGATCCAGTTGCTTTCTGGGCACTTTAGAAGCTGGTAGAGGAGTTCCAGTAGCTTTGTCCAGCCTCTCCTTGGTGCAGATGTCAGGGAAGTCCTTCTGAGTATCTCTCCACTGGTTCCTCCTGCTGTGGCTGTTACCTAGACCTTGCCCTGCTTGGTCCATCCCTTTGACTGTAAGCCCTTAGAGCCCACTTCTCTGTGATCCTGCCCACTTCCTCTCCTTTGCCCTGGGGACTATCCATGAGTGTCCAAACCACCTAAGCTGGAGGAGCTCTTAGAGATGGTCCAGGATACAAATGGGAAAACAGGCCTAGGGAAGGGTAGGTCTGTATACAAAGCTATGCAGAGTCAGGCTCAGAACCCAGGATTCCTAGCTCCCAGAAGCCTCTTGGCCTCACCGGGCTGCAGGCCCCCTTTCTCCTGTTCCAGAGCCAAAATCCAGGCAGGGTCCCTGCCAGGAACTGTGCAGGAGGTTGGACTGGCTCCTTCTGATACCACCGTCTTTCTCCAGTCCCAGCTCAGTACGGAAGACAGATCTCCTCTCAGGTGGCGCCTGGCATGCCCAGGGTCTCCCCTTCTGGCAAATCTGGGGCTTGTTCTGGTGCCTCAGAAGGGCCTAGGGCAGGGCCCAATGAAGGTCCCTGGAGGTGCTGAAGAAATGCCGGCAGGTGCCAGGCCCGGGGAGTACAGGCACGCGGGGGCCGGGGCAGAGCCCTGCGGGCGAGGCGGCCCAGTGCCCGGCGTAAGGGGCGCTGCAGAAGCCCATACAGGAAGGGGTGAACGGCGAAGGCCGAGTAGGCCACCCAGGTGACGGGCGCCTCGGCCACTGCCGCTTGCGCAGCGGGCGCCAGGCACGCACAGCCATAAGGCAGCCAGCAGGCTGCGAACTGGCCCACGGCCAGGGCTGGGGCCAGGGCTGCTTTGCCCCCAGGCAGGCGAGGCCGCAGTGGTGGCAAGATGGAGAGGCGGCTATCCAGAGAGTCGGAGCGCAGCCGGGAGCCGCGCGCGGGCCGCGGGGGCCGCAGGGCCGCGCGGCGCGCCACGAGGAAGATGCCGCCGTAGGCGCCGAGCAGCAGGAGGGCGGGTAGCGCGAAGGCCAGCAGCGCCCAGAGCGGCCGGAAGGGCCCGAGGCCGCCGGCCAGGACGGAGCAGCGCGCCGGGGCCGGGGGCGGCGCGGGCGGCGGCCCGAGCAGGGAGAGCGCGCCCAGCAGCCCCGCGGCGGCCCACACGGCTGTGAGCACCAGGCCCGGCGGAGGCCGCGCGCCGGGCCGCAGCGGGTGCACTATGAGGCGGTAGCGCGCCAGGCCGAGCGCGGCCACCCCGAGCGTGCAGGCGGGGAGCAGCGCCGCCGAGAGGAAGCGCGCGGCGCGGCACGGCGCGGGGCCCAGGCGCACGCGGCCCAGCCCGGACGGCGGCGCGGCCAGCAGGCCCAGCGGCATGATGGAGGCGGCCGCCATCAGGTCCACAATGCACAGGTGCACCAGGTAGAGCGCGTCACGAAGTCCTGGGGTGCGCAGGACCACGACCAGCAGCGCGCCGTTGCCCAGCAGTGCTGCCGCCTCCACGATAGCCGCCAGGATCAACCCCGCCGAGACCGCGACTTCTGAGGTGTTCAGCAATGTGACGTTGGCCATTCGAGCGCTCAGACTTCACCCTGTGCTGGGCTGCAGAGAGCGAAATGGAGTGTCTTCCCTCCCCCCTTCCCATCACCTGTCCCTCGCTCCTCCGGCGCCTCACCTCACAGGCTGCCCCGGTGCTGGCTCCATTGCCCAGGCTGCCATCCTCTCAGGGGCTTGGCCGGCCCCATGGAGGGATGCAAGGCTGGGACTTGCTCTCTCTCTCTCTCTCTCTCTCTCTCTCTCCTCTTCCCCGGGCAACTCAGTCTCTGCTGGAGATGGTACTGGCTGACACTCTGATGTTGCCCTTTAGAGACAGAGCTGGCAAGGGAGGAGCAGGGCCTGGCACCAGCCCCCTGGGTCCTAGCAGCTGCCAGCTGCTGGCTGGAGACTGTGCTGTGAAAGAGCTGGGGGTGCCTCTAGAGGGGGTGCCAGAATAGGCACAGGCTGGAGTCTAGACTGAGGACATCAGAGTGGGGGTTTCAGAGTTTGCCAGACCCTGCTCTGCCTTTCCCCAGGGTAGGAAGTGGCCCTCCACATGCTCTGCCTTCTCATCTCCATCAGTGGGGTAATCAGATTATTCAGCCTTTGTCCTGAGGGGAAACTGAGGTACCAGTAAGACAAGGCTGCAACGGGGAGAGCTCCAGAAGGGCTAGTTCCCTCAGAAAGGAGGCTAGGAAAGGGGGGGGGGGGGGGGGAATCATAGGATGTGGCACATAGGAGGCTCTCACCTGGGGTTAACTTGGCACAGACTAAGTGTTTCATGATACTGTGTGGAATTAATAAGAGGAGGCCTTGGGGGAAACTGCTGGGTTCTTTTTGTTTTGTTTTGTTTTAATTGAAGTATAGTTGACCTACAATAGTATGTTAATTTCAGGTGTACAACATAGTGATTGGACAATTCTATACATTACAAAACGCTCACCATGCTAAGTGTAGTTACCGTTTCAACTGCCGGTTTTTTGTCTGGTTTTGTTTTTGCTGTTAGCAAACAAGTCCCCTCCTGCTAAGAGCACCCTGAGTTTCCTTTAGGAAACCATTGCTCCCCAATTCTCAGGGCTTAGGGTTTGGGAGAGCAAGATTCCCACTCGTTTTCCTAAGGTATGAAACCCAGTCCCGGCCAGTCAGGGTACGGCATCCCCCACGCCCAAGGTGGTTGGCTCAGGGTACTAATGGGACATGTGCCCCCAAAGTCACCCAGTTCCCTGTCAAAATCTCTATCTATACCCTTGTGGCTTGACTTATATCTGAAGCTCCTTTCTCTCCCCTGCCTCTCCAACATTTCCCCCAGTACTTTTGACTACTGGGCACCTTAAATTTCCTATGTCGAAAACAAAGCCATGACTCTTGACCTCTCTCCCCAACGTGCTCCTCACAGAGTCTTCCCCATATCAGAAAGTTTTATTAATGCCTCCCTTCCCCCAGGCCCCACGTCCATCAATGTGTGTGAATCCATCAATATGTGTGAATCCAGCCATTTCTCCCCACCACCACACCTCACCTGAACCACTTCAGCATTCTCCCACCTGATCTCCTGGCCTCTGCCTCTGCACCTCATGCTAGTTCTTTATCTGTTTGTCCTCAGATCCATTCTCCAGTCTACCCCAGTGCTCCGCCTTCCAGGGAAATGTACTTCGGAGGGTTCTTTGCCAGCTGGTTTTGGGGTGTACTCAGCTAATGGAAGTTAGCAGCAGAAGACTGGAGGGTGGAAGGAGGGAAGAAGCCAAGGTATTTTCCCTCTCATGCTCTCAGCCTGGGGCTCTGAATCTACTGTCCTCTGTGGAGGACACCGCTCTCTCCTTCATGCCTCCATGGTGCCTCCATGGTTCCATGCCTGCAGGGAGACCCTGGCCTCCCTCCTTTCCTTCCATTACCCCTCCAGCCTAAGGGTGGTAGCAACTTCCTGCTGTTGCCAATCTTTGGATCACCTCACCACCCCCTCTGGTAGTTCAGTTTCTTTCCTGTATCAAATCCCCTTGTCAGGAATCCCCAGGGTGATTTCAGCTTTGCTGACTGGATCTTGATGAACACACCCTCCAGTCCACTCTCTACACAGCAGCTGAAGTGGATCCCTCTAAAAACAAATCAGATCGTGTCGTGATCCTGCTGTCATCCCTCTAAGAGCTTCCCATCATCAGAATAGACTCTCAGCTCCTCTGTGCCAGTTGGCCTTCTCCCCACCTCTCTGACCTCACACTCCTTGGCGACCACACTTCCAGCCATAGCAACCGTCTTGCTGAACCTCCAACATGTCAAACTGGTTTGCACTTCAGGGTCTTCACATGTGCTATTTCCTCTATCAGAACATGCTTCCCTCAGATCTGTCCAGGACTTCGTCCCTCACCTAATTCAGGGCTTTGCTTGAGAGCGGCCTTCAGGGACCGTCTTTTCTAACATCCCCCCATCTTCCCTCACTAATCCCTTTACCCTGACTTATTTTTCTTCCTGGCACTTTCCCTACTTGATAAATTTCATATCCATGCATGTGCTTGTTTTGAGCCTGTTGTACTAGCCTGTAAGCTGCATGAGAGCAGGGACTTTGTGCCTTGCTCATGCCTGTGCCCCTAGAGCCCACCCCAGGCACATGATCAGCATTGTATAGAGCTAGATGCTAGCCACCAGGGCACGAACTTCCGGATTTGACTCATTTCCTGCTGGAATTTGAAAGACTTGATCCAGTTCTCCATTATTCACATGAGAAAACTGATGTTCAGAGAGGTAAGGAATGTGTCCCAGATCATACAGGTAAGTTGCACCTGGAACCCAGGTCACTTGCTTCCTGGGCTCTGTCCACACAGATACCACTTCCTGAGCTTGGCCACAGTTTAAACATAGGCATTTGCCTTTAGGAGGTGAAGCTGGAGTTTTGAGGTGTTGGTCCAGAGTAAGGGGAAGTCCACCACTTTGTCCCTCCTCTTCTCCCTGCCCAGCTGGGCCTGCAGAGCTGGGGCAGTGCCTGAGCCACCAGGGCCCGGGGAGGGTTCAGAAGGGCAAGTGGTAATAGCAAATGAGAAAAGTGGGCTGGGGAAGGTGCTAGGGGAGGGACAGAGATGATGGTGGGTTGGAGAGTGCCCTCTCCCTCCAAAGCAGTCCTACTCAATTAAAAATGGAGGGAGAATGGAACACTTTGTAGTTTATGTGGGTTTTTTTTTTGTTTGTTTGTTTAATTTGCACAAAGAAATGCAGGAAGGATAAACCAGAAACTGCAGCAGGTTGGTGGGAATGGAGTGAAAGGCTGGAGAAGGACCCTTTTTGGAGTACATGTTTTTGTGCAAAGGACTGGACTTTTGGGAACTCTGTTAATGTTCTATGTATTGAAAAAAACAAATCAATGAAGACGAGGAAAATCCCCTAAAAGTGAATTATAAACAGAAACAAATGAACCTCCCTGTATTTCAAATGCATAACAACCACACTGAAGAGATAAATAGCTCATCAGTGTAGAAGATAGTCATGAGTAAGATTCAATACACTTGGAGCTCAACTTAGGTTTGTTTTTCACAATGGTTACAGTTGTAGCAATTCTTTTTTTTTTTTTTTAACTTTTATTTATTCTGAGAGAGAGAGCGAGCGAGCAGGAGAGGGTCAGAGAGAGAGGGAGACACAGAATCCAAAACAGGCTCCAGGCTCTGAGCATGACCTGAGCCGAAGTCAGATGCCCAACCGACTGCGCCACCCAGGTGCCCCCAGCTGTAGCAATTCTGAAACCCCTTTTTACGTGGGATTAAGTGATAAGTAAATATATTAAGGTTGATGGAAACCAAGATTCTGACTGTTAGAGAAAAGAGATACTTTAAATATATATTTGGGGAAGGATGGAAGAGCCCTGTGGTGTTGGATTAGAATTGGAGAAATATATATAGACAGACAGATGCGTTCATTTCTTTACATATTTCCTGGCTCTTCATACTACAAGGACTTACTAGCAATGACACTCTAGTACCAAGAAGCATACCTCCTGCCCAAATCTAGGATGTTACAGGGGACCAGGGCTCCTTGGAGAAATGGCTGATTTGGGTTTATGCGAGATGAGCCTGGAACATCTGGTGATGCCAGAATATAAGAAAGTGCTCAAAAAATGATGTAGATCCAGGAGTCAGTATGAAAGACCTTCTGCTGGCAAAATCTGGGGCATTTTTGAAGATCGGGATAATTACAGTAATGGATTATAACCCAATGCATAAAATAAGAATCCACAAGTCCTTATGGATAATAAAGAGGACTAGTAATCAATAAATATAAAAGAAATAATGGGATTAGATAACTGTCATTTGCTACCATCTTAGCAAAAATGGATTGAAGTCATTGATTTCAGGTAAAAATCATCAATGGATAGTAAAGCTAGTGGGTGAAAGTCCAGGAAAAATAGAACCCTTACACCTCAGATATTTTCCCACAGATTACTAATTAATTACAAATAGGAGAAATGGTAACTTTCCAGTGGAGAAACCTAGAGGTCACCACCTTAAGAGATCAAAATAAACATCACCTAGAATGGGACATGTCCCTCTGGATATAATGCACTGAAGACACTTCATATAGGTCATGTTCCTGCTCACATTGCACTACCCGAATCTGATCATGACAAAACATCAGACAAACCTAAATTTTGAGATAGTCTGTAAAACAACTGGCCCATCCCCTTCATGAGTATCGAGAATGTCAAAGTCATGAAGGGAAAAGAAGGGCTGAGGATGGCTTCAGATGGAAGGAGACGCATGAGACATGACAACTAAATGCAGTGTGAGCCCCCGGACTGGACCATGATCTGCTCTCTAGCACCTGCACCCCATTTGTGGACAGGGCTACCAGAGGGTGGCTGGTGTTCCTTTCACGATTGTAGAGCAGTGTTCCATGGATACATGCCAAACTTGTTAATATTCAGATATAAGATACATGTGGATGTCTGGCCCCAAGACAGGAATGCTTGATTTGCCTGGTCATGTCTGGGCAGAATCACCAGGTGAGTCCCCAAATGCCCAACAGTTCTGAATTGGTGAGAGAACTGAAGGCTCAGTGATCATGAGGCTAGCTCTTGCACACTTGGATGTAGATCAACCTGTGTGTGTGTATGTGTGTGTGCGTGTGTGCACGCACATGTTCCACATCAACCTTGTGAGTGTTCGCTCCCTGGAGTAGGGCTGGGGCTGCTGTGCCGTGTGGTGGGTCCCCAACAAGAGAAAAGGGGGCCCGGGCTGGTACAGCTGTAGCACAGACAAGCAGAGGCCAGGGAGTGAGCAGATATAATATTTAATAAGCTTGCTGTGTATGCTCGAACTTGAGCCTACCCTGGTGCTCACACCCCTTGGACAGACAATCTGGGCCAGGGTTGACAGCCCGGGTGGATCTGGGACTCTGCCCACTCTCAGCCTGTGTTCCTCTAACCTGAATGGGCTGCTCTATCTGTGCCCCAGTAATAATGGCAGTCCATCACGTCCATCCCCTCAGGAGGCGAGACTCTGGGGCCACAGCCATGCCAGGGCTAGCAAGGATTAGAGGGAAGGGGGATCACTGTCTGGGACACAAGAGTGAGATTTGGGGACAAGAAGGTGTGGTACGGGGGATAGGCAGGAAGGTTGAGATGATGGTCTACCTCCCAGCAGGCCCCCAGGGCAGGGATAGGCAGACAGCTCAGAGGTGAACCTCGAGCAGGTAGCGCAGGCAACACTGGCTCTCTTGGTAGATGAGATATTCGCTCTGGGAGAACGTGGAGCTGCTGAACTCTGCGCAGGGCATGGGCTGGCCCTGGGGCACTGCCACTCGCTGTCCATCCAGCTCCAGCTCGGTGTCCTGGGTTGGATCTGCAGGGTAAAGCGAGGGCCATGGGTGACCCAAGGGTCACTGGTCCTTGGCTTTACCAGTAAGTTCTGCCTCCTATGCTTTCCACTTCTGCCACAGGGGAACACCTGCTCATTCCCACCTTGGGATCTCCAAACCACTGCACAGGCTGGGCCTTCTGCCTGGAATATCCTCCCTATTTCTCTGCCTAGAAAATTCCTACTTATCTTTCAATGCTTAGTCAATGACACCTCTTCTTTGAAGCCCTCTTGGATACCCAGGAACGATATGTTGAATCAGCAAATGTTTGTCGAATGACAAAGTGAATGAGGTAGTGAGAAAGCCTGCTTCTTTTTGCCCCTCTCCTCAGCTCCCTCCCTGCTCACGTCTTCCCTGAAAGCATTCAGGTCCCCTAGCTCAGCCCCAGGTGTCGATTCTCAGGCCTGTCTAGCTTTTCAGGACTCACCAGGCTCTGTGTGGCCTCGGGCAATGACACTGTTGAAGCCAGGGGGTGGCTGCTTCAAGCTGGGGTCGTCGATGGTGATGTGGTATTCTCTGCCCAGTGCCACCTCACCCAGGAACATGTAGCCAATTTGGTGGGGTCCGCAGGACATACCAGTAACTGGGGGACCCAAGGAAGCTCAGTGTGGGCAGCGTGGCCCTCCGTGACTCCTTGGCCCCCCTCTGCTACATCCTTACCTCCTCTGGTTTTGGGCCCTGAAAAGTGCCCACTCTTATTTTTTTTCAATAGTTTATTGTCAAGTTGGTTTCCATATAACACCCAGTGCTCATGGGTGCCCTCCCCCATGCCCATCACCCCCTTCCCCCTCTCCTCCACCCCCATCAGCCCTCAGTTTGTTCTCGGTATTCAAGAGTCTCTCATAGTTTGCCTCCCTCCCTCTCCCCAACTATTTTCTCCCCTTCTCCTCCCCCATGGTATTCTGTTAAGTTTCTCCTGTTCCACTTATAAGTGAAAACATATAGTATCTGTCCTTCTCTGCCTGACTTATTTTGCTCAGCATAACACCCTCGAGTTCCATCCACGTTGCTACACATGGCCAGATTTCATTCTTTCTCATTGCCTTGTAGTATTCCATTGTATAGATAAGCCACATTTTCTTGATCCATTTGTCAGTTGATGGACACTTAGGCTCTTTCCATGTTTTGGCTATTGTTGAAAGTGCTCCTATGAACATTGGGGTACATGTGCCCCTATGCATCAGCACTCCTGTATCCCTTGGGTAAATTCCCAGCAGTGCTATTGCTGGGTCCTAGGGGAGTTCTATTGTTAATTTTTTGAGGAACCTCCACACTGTTTTCCAGAGGGGCTGCACCAGTTTACATTCCCACCAACAGTGCAGGAGGGTGAAAAGTGCCCACTCTTATAACACCAGCTTGTTAAACATCCTTAAAAACACCCCTTGTCCTGACCGTGCTCCCTCCCACCCCTTACCCCACTCCTCGGATCCCTGAGAGCAGGTGTCTGCAGCCGCTCCTCCCCAACACCAAGGTCAGCAAAGGGCTCCCAGTGACCAAATCCAGGGCAGAGGCCTTTTCTCTCTGGCCTGCTCTGCTGATCTTGCCACTGGCACCCTCCACCCCCTAGCCTGGGACCTTTGCACTGGCTCTCCTGAGGCTACCCTCTAATCCTTCGTAGGCTCCTCTGCCCTCCTGGTGGACAACCAGGAGGTTGGCCTTGGGCAACCTCAGACATCCTAGAACGTCAGCCCCATCCAACCTTGCTCTCTTGGATCAGCGGGTGGTGGTGATCTCCAAGGATGGGCTGGCCGAGGAGCCAGTCTGGGGAGATCTCCTCAGTGAGGACACCTCTGGATCAAAACTTGGAGGTCATCAGAGATATCTTCAACCCTGTCACACTTGCTGCCCATCCCACCTCCCACACGCCCCTCTCACGGATTCTTTCTTCCCCCACCTCCACTGCCTGGGTTGTGTGCCCATCACATCTGGCCTGGGTGAGAGCATGGCCTCTCTGTGCCTCTGGCCTCAGCTGCCCTCCCTAAGCTGTAGCCACTGAGATGCTGCTGCTATACATAAGTCTGGTGAGGGTCCCCATCACTATCTGGATAAAGCTCCCTTGATGTTCTGGGCCCCAGCCCTCCCACCCACACCTGGCATTTGCTTGGAGCCTTATCATCAGGCTGTGCTCGGAGGTCCTGACCTCCCAGCCTATGTGCCACTTCCTAGTTTCTTTACCTCCAAGCTCCTCTTTCACCGCACCCCCCTCCACATCCAGCTGGCACCCTCATCCTATCTGCATGACCTGCTCCAGGAAGGGATGCTGCCTGGGGCTGTCTGACCTGTCTCTGACCACTGGCCCCTCCTCTGGGTCCCCCCAGGCCTCAGGATGCCCCAAAGAGCACTCTGGTCAGTAGCTATTCAAGGTTTCCTCTCCTGGAAACACTGCGTGTTGGACGAGCACTGGGCCTGGTCGTCCCTCGTGTCTTGCACCTGCCCAGGTGGCCCCCAGGGGTACCTCACCATAGCCCGCTGACTTGCTGTTCTCTGAGGCGAAGTAGATGCCCTTGCCAACGCGGCCACCGGAATGTGGCATGATGCGAAGCCCACTGGTGAGGATGGTGGCCACCACAGCCACATTGGTGCCATGCCACAGTAGCTTCCGATTACCCAGCTCGGAGTGGGCCTGGAACCTATTTCCCTGAGGGGGAGGCGGTGGGAACAGGAAAGGTCATCCTATCCAAGCTCAGGTGCTTCTTCCTGCTGCTCAGAGAGTACCACCAAGGCCAAAGTCCCCTCTGGCCAATCACACCCACTCATGCACACATGCACAAGACCTGGGTCTGGGGGAAACTGTCAAGTTGCTAAGGTGACTCACTAATGGGCAGGCACATAAGCCAAGGGCATTCCTTCAGGGTCAGGTAGTGATAGGGGAGTGGGTTGGAAGGACTCTCCCTTACCTCCCCTTCTCGGTTCACTTTCCAAACATGTTGAAGAACAGGGCACCTGTAGGTGTTGCCCGTCTGTTCTAAGTAGGTATGTATCACCTGCAAAGAAAGCAGAAGCTGGGTGCCGAGACTAACATGTGTGGACAAACCCCCACTGGTGCCCCAGTCCCGGAGCGCTCCTTGGGCCCTACAGACACAGGAAGAGAAGGCCAAGGCCAAGGGATTCCTCTGCACACCAGGAGGGCAGATGGGCAGAGGGACAGTGCCCGCTATTAGCTGGGCTCCTCTGTGGGACCCGGCCCACCTTGTACTCGTGTGCCTCTGGGTCCAGCAGCTGGAGCTGGCACTTAAGGAGCTGGTAGTCTCGGTCCAGTGGGTGTGGCACCTCCTCCACCTGCACCTCCTCGGGGGCTGCCTGCAGGGTCTGAGCCAGCTCGATGTCTGCCAGCACCTAAAGCGGTGGGCACCGGCAGCTTGTCTGTCTTCTCAACTCCCAGCCTCCTCCCTCCCAAAGACTGGGACCACGGTTACCCCACCTGTCTGTCCACCTGTACATCCCCCCCATCTACCTGCATAGACTTCCCCTCCCCTGTCCTTCAACCCATCCATTTGGTCCACCTATCTGGCCTTCTTGGCCATCTGTCCTCCATCTCCCTTGCCCAGTCTGTTGTCTGCTCCACTGTCTGCCCACTTGCCGCCCCTCACCAGCAGCATATCCTTTTTGGCCTGCAGAAGCTCAAGGGAGTTGATGGATGGGGGCCGATTGCGGCCAAAGTTGTGGGGAATGATGGTGTAGAAGTGGGAGGACAGCTTCTCCAGACTGAGGCCACCATCCGTGGGGTCTTTGAGGGCCGCCTCCAGTGCCTCCAGAGCCTCGAAGCCCCGTGCAATCTGCTGCTTGCTCAACTTCCCTAAGGGCATCTTCTTCACATCTAGGGGAGTGGGGAGGGTCAGGGAGACTCAGTCCCATGGCTCTGCAGCCCCTAGGCCCCTGCAACCTTGCCTGGCTCCTCTCCCCTCACCCAGGTTCATGAGGGTCATAGCATTCTTGAACATGTCCTTGCTGAAGATGTTGGTGATAAGCTTCTGTGTAGCTGCATCCAGAGAGCAGGGCCGCACCTGCTGAACCACGGTCTTCACTGGGCCTCCATCCGTCTAGGGGTAGAGGGCACAGATGAGCAGGGCCAGCTGGGCACAGCCAGAGCAGAGCCTGGCATTAGACAGAGACTAGCTAGATTGAGGCCAGAGAGGGGAAGTCCGTGCCTGAGGCCACATAGCCGGACAGTGGCAGAACACAACTGGCTGGGGCTCTCTGTCTAGTCCCCTCCCTCATCCCAGGGCCCACCACCCTCCCTGGCCACTTCACCTTCACCACGGCTTCCTGGGCCTCGTCCTCTCCCTGCACTTCAATAAGCGTGTACTTGCCAGGGTGGGCCACAAAACGGTCCCGATCCACCCAGCTATTCTTGGTCTTGTCCCGAAATTTCTTCTCAAAGTCCTTCTTTGCATCCTCCAATAACACGAAGTAGCTGAGCTTTGACTGGCCCACCTCTCCCTGCAACCAACAGCCTTCAAGGGGGGGCCTGCCACAGTGCCCACCGTGTACACTAGTTGGCCTCTGTTATGCCTGGGCAGTCAGAGGTGGGGAGGGTTGTGATCAGCAGCTGAGTAAGCTGTGGGGACCCTGGGGGAGTAGGGGGCATGAGCAGGGAGAGGTGGGGAGAAGGTGGGCACAAGGTGGGAAGGTGGCACTCACTACACGACCCCAGTGGTTCCAGCAGGCAAAGCGGTCACCCTCTCTCAGCAGCTGGATGATGTAGAACTTGTTGTTGTTGCTCCCGATGTTGGTCTGGTTCAGGGTGCAGGCGTAGTCTTCGTGCACCTGGGGCCGGAGGGGGCATGGGGAAGGCAGGCTGGCTCGGGCTGCCCCGGAGTGGGACAGGGTACCCAGCTGCACACTGACAGGGGTCTGATGGGGAAGGAGTCATGCTGCACTGGGGCATCAGAGGAGGCCCTGGCAGGGAAGGCCCGAGGAGGTCATGGTTCTGCCCTGAGGGACACAGACTGAGGTGACATGACTAAACCCAGGCAGCTGGGGGGAGTTCAGGGAGGACATGGCTATGTCTTATATCAGGGAATCAGAGAGAGACATTGGTTCTGCCCTGGAGGGCTGACAGGGACACAACCCTGCCATGCAAGGGATCTCAGGGGGACGTGGCCCTGTGGGGCTGCTTTAGGAAGCATCAGTGAGCCCTGGGGAGACTGATGGGTCACAGCCCTGCCTTAAGTATGGCAGGGGGAGGCCTAAGAAGCTCAGGGGCCTGCCCTGGGTCTGAAGAGCAGACATGACCTCCCTGGATCTGATGGGATACAACCCTACATGACCTTTGGGGTCTTGGGGGAACACGGCTTACTTGGGACCTTGAACTATCTGGCCAGAGCCAAGCCCCAGTGGGAAGGGGAGCAGGTCTGAGTGTATTTGTATCTAGGAAGGAGCGGACTCCAAGACTGGATGAGGACTACAGCTTACCTGAGTGCCAGGGCTGTGGCTGAGTGGGCATGCTGGGTCCACTCGGACTATGTGCTTCTCTGTGGGTGCAGCTCTGAGGGCCTTGGCAGTGGAGTGAAAGCTGTCCTCCTCTGCCCCTTGCCGCCCCTTCTTCTTTTTGGGGCCCTCACATTGCACTGGGGGCTTGCGCTTTGGAGCCATGGCTCTTCTGGGGCACAGAGGGGGCCCTCAGGCCTTCATGACCTCTGCATCCCACTTGGCTGGCACAGCATCAACTTGCCCCACTCTGGGTTCGCCCTTTGGTATTCTCTCCCCGCCCCCCTCTAGCCACTGTCTCCCCCTGCTTCCATTTCCCCATTCCCAGACTCAGACCAAAACCAGCTCTCTGCACCAGTCACCTCTCCCTTTCCCCATTCACAGGGGTCAGGCCAGGACGCTGTCCAGTCTGCCCTGGGGTCTAGCAAGAGTGGTCCTCTGCCCTCTCTAGTAATCCGGTATGTCCTGATGAGGGAAGGAAAGTGAAAGGAGAATCTCCTCCCTCCTGCTTCTGGGCTCCTCCTCTCTCCAGAGCACTCTCTGGGTACTGCTTGCTCCTCCCCTGTCTCAGCTGACTCAGATGGAGCTGGCATGGTTGCTGGGCTGAGTCACTCAACTATGGAGGAGAGTGGGCAGTAGCGCCCAGGGGCCACACTCCTGAGGCCAGATCTGTCCCTCTAGAACTTGAGAGCCAGGACCCCAGAAACCATTCATTCCCAAGGGGTTCAAAAGTTCTGGGGTGCCAGTCAAGGTCTGAGATCAGCGACTTTGAACTGCCAGAGGGCAAGGGCCAGTCCCACCCATCCCTGCCCTGCCTTGCAGAGGGCTGTGACAGGGCCATAGGGCACTCACCTAGGAGAAAGAAGCAGTGACCTGGGAGAGATGGCGGCCACCAGGTCTAGTATCAGGACCCCCACGGCAGTTCCAGTTCTAGGGCCTTGTCTAGAAACCCTCCGGAACCTTAGGCGTGACTTGGGGAGTGATTTCCTTAAAACGCCAGAGGTGGGGGCAGGGGCCAGCACAGGAGTGGGGGGTGTGGTTTTCTAACTATCTGGCCACCAGTCAAGTGAGTCAGAGGCTGGGCAGGCGGAGGCCAGCCGCCTATCCCACGGACCCGTGGACACTTGATCGGGATACAGCCAAGGCCTAAGGGACTGACCCGTCCTTAGCGCCGCTTGTCTGGCCTGAGGCTCGCAGTACAAGTCCACCTTGGGCACAGGTGCGGGCACTGCCGACCTCTTCTCCTCTCGAGGCTGCCTAAATTTTCCGGGTTATCTAGTGCCAGGCAGGCTCGTTTTTGCCCCCGCCCCCGACGGGGAGGAGTCACGCTCCGAGACGTGAAACCACTCTGCATCTCTGACGCCTCCCAGCGTTCAAGGGCCGCAAACACAGAGAAGGCCAGTCTCTTCCGACCCGCCCTTGGACGTCAGCCCGCAGCAGGACGCACGCGCCATTGCCTTGTGCCGGAAGCGCCCGGAGAGGCTTGCTACCTACTGGAGCCTGGCGCGGGAGCCTGTAGGAACTGTTGGAGGCGTGGCCACAAGCGTTTACCCTATGGGCGCTTGGGGGCGTGGCAGAGTTTACAAAAGGACCCAATGGAGCTGTGGGAGGCGGGGCCCACCGGGCAATGGGAGCCTATCCGGACCCGGGTCTTGCCAGACCAACCGGGTTTAGCAGCCACGTGAGTTCTTCGTGGCGGTCGCTACACACACGGTGGGCAGCATGTCGGCGGCAGCGGCGGCTAGAAAACGCGGAAAGTCAGCCTCGGGGGCCGGTGCAGGGGCCGCCAAGCGGCGGCGGAAGGTGAGCCTGGCGTTTCTGCGGGCCAGAGTCAGTCCCGTAACTGGGACCACCGTCGTCTCCTACGGACACCCAGGTCCCTGGGTCCTCCGCGGCCCAATTTTTCGGAATCCCAGCTGGAGTCAGCTTCGTTCCTCCCTCCGCGGGCCAAATCCTGGAAGGCCTTGCAGTTGAGCCGGGGGGCCAAACTGCCTTTCCTAGTCCTGCGCCTCTCGAGGGATTGGAAAGGGCCCTTGGATAGTGCCGGGGTGGTTGGGACCCTTGACCAACGAAACGATTATTTAATTCTCAGGCCGATTCTGCTGGGGAGAAGGGCAAGTCCAAGCGAGGCGGCAAGATGAATGAGGAGATCTCCAGCGACTCTGAGACTGAGAGGTGAGCACTCTTCCACCTAGGGGAAGGGGACACTGGGGCCCATGGTGTATGGAAGACTCGGTGAGTCTGGGCAGAGCTGGGCCTAGAACCCAGGTCTCCCGCCTTTTTGGCTCTTAGGTATTGGCTTTTTCCTTTAGTTCTAACCCTGATGAGTAGGACTCATCTTGAGGAGTTTGAGAAGTCTCATCTCCTTCCCTGCAGGGTCTCTGTGTGGGGAGAACCCCTAGTCCCAGTGGGAGACCAGTGAGAACTCCCTGGTTCATGGCAGGGACCTGAGAACAGGCTGGACTGGCTGGTAAGAGAAGAGGGATGTAAGAAATGCTTGCTAGTTCTTCATCTGCTTTTCTTCAATTTCACAGTTGCTGTTCTCTTCCCTGACTCCCAACATGTGCCAGGCACTGACTTTACTGTTGAGAATAGAAATGATCCGGCAGGTGAAGACAAAACGTGTTGTAATGGGATGTGTATTCTACAGTTCTGGGTTCTGGAGACAGGGGAGGGGACATTTAAATAGGGCCTGGAGAGATGAGAAGGAGTTCCTCATGTAGAAGCAGGGAGGACACTCAGGAATCAGAGAAAAATCTAGGGCTTTCCATGGGCCAGATTGGGAGATGGAGAGGATGGAAAGGTAGGGTTGGGGCTGCATCCAGATTGGGAGGGCTTTGAATACCTCCCTCTTTCTGCAGGTGACAGGGGTGGGGCATGCTGGAGGGTTTCAGAGGGGGCTAGCAAGGTGTCAGGCCTGAGCTTGTGGAATGGAGGCTGTCATACCAGAGGATCCTGGTGCCTTCCCTAAGAGCTGGCTTTAGAAATTCAGCTTCTAAAGCTGAGCACATGTTGGCCTTAACATGCTCACATCATACATACTTTTTTTTTTTACTTACTCTGGAGGTTACTCTAGGTAGGTATGTGCCTGGCCCTGTGCCAAATACTTGTAATCTTTAAAGAATATGTTGTGAATGTCTGAATTACAGAATAGTTCATGAAATGTGTTTGTACTCTAAGGAGCAGTGATGAAATGATGAACCCATCATTGCACCCATCACTTAGGTTAGGAACTAGACCATTTGCAGAAACTTGGAAGCCCCAACTGAGTTAATCATTTCTTTGGTCATTCCTTCTTTCCTTCCTTCCTCCCTCCCCTCCTTCTCCTCCTCTTCATTTTTAAAATTCAGATATAATTTACATACAGTAATATTCATCTTTTTTAGTGTACACCTTTTTTTTTTGTGGGTTTTGACAAACACATGCAGTTGTATAATGACCACCACTGTGAAGGTATAGAAGGGTTTCATCACACTCCGGAACTCGCCCCTGCTCCTTTGTAGTCCGTTACTGCCCTCCCTCCAGCCCTTGCTAACTACTATCCCTGGAGTTTTGCTTTTTCCAGAACATCAAATGAGTGGAATCATCTGCTTTCCTTTAGAGTTCTGTCTCCTATGTGTGAACTCCTAAACAGTAGACGAATTAGTTTGGGTAAAAGGAGTGCAAGTTCTAACCTTGGCTGGTTAGCAGAGCAGCCACCAACCCTGTTGGCTGAAGGCTTGCTGAGCACTGAGTACTAAATGGTCTCTGTGGCCTGCTTTAGCCGTAGCTTCCTTGAGAATTTCCAAGGTCCTCTCTGGGAAAGTTGTGGGCAAGGTCATGAATGAGTCCTGGGGAACAAATGGGGCATTTGACTAGGTATCTTTAGGTACATGATCAAAGGGGATGGTTCCTGTGACCTACCTCTAGCTGCCAAGAGCAAGTCAAAGTAGGACTTGCCTTGGGTAAAGAGAATGCACTCAGCTGGGGTAGGAGTGGTGCTTGGAAGGGAAAGCAGAAACTTCACCACAAGGTCAGCCAAGACCAGTTAAGCTTCACCTGGAATCCTGTCCTCAAGGTAGCGGATGGTCTATGGCAATGAGGATGAGGCAGTGACATCCCAGCGTGTCTGCCTCTTAGGTCCTTTTATCAGACCTGGCCTGGCTGCGCCCCTCTCGGGGGGTGGTTCTGCGATTTACCTTTTCTGCTTTCCATGTTGGATCTCCTATTCCCTGTCTCCCGTGCCTTTCTCATTCTCAGTTTTTCCTCTTGTTTGGGGAGCACATCGCCCATCCCTTAATGACGTTTAGAAAAGACCAGTCCTGTGGCACCTTGTATATCTGATAATAATTGGCATGGCCTTTCAGGAGTTCACATTTTCCTTCAGAATTTTATGTGTGAGGCTCCTTGTCTGCCTGCTTTTAGTGTTGCTGTTGAGACTTCTGAAGACTTTTGATTCCTTTTTTGTTTTTTAATGTTTATTTATTATTGAGACAGAGAGAAACAGAGCATGAATAGGGGAGGGGCAGATAGAGGGAGACAGAATCTGAAGCAGGCTCCAGGCTCCGAGCTGTCAGCATAGAGCCTGACGTGGGGCTCGAACCTACAAACCATGAGATCATGACCTGAGCTGAAGTTGGACGCTTAACCGACTGAGCCACCCAGGTGCCCCTGATTCCTGACCCTTAGTATGTGACCCTTTTCTCAGCAGCCTGTAGAACCTTCTCTTTCCCTCTAGAATTGAGAAATTTCACAGTGCTCTTTTTGGGTTTTGGGTCTCTTTTCACCCTAATGTCAGGCACTGGGTGGGTCCTTTCAGTTTGCTAAGTCACCTCTTTTGGTTTTCTGCATGTGTAATTGTTGGCCTTGGGGGCTGGCAGGATGGGACAATTGAGTGTCGGGAGGCAGCAAGGAGGCATGATCCTAGAGGCCAGAGGAGCAGGGTGAGCCCCCTCAGAGCCAGCCCCTTCCCACAGCCTAGCTCCCAGGAGGACTGAGGAGGAGGAGGAGCTGGAGGAGACAGCCCAGGAAAAGAAGCTACGCTTGGCCAAGCTCTACTTGGAGCAGCTCAGGCAACAAGGTGAGCCCATGCGCTGGGCCTGTGAGTGCAGGGTCTGTGCCTAAGGCTGCCTGCCGCACCTGATGGGTGACTGATGCAGGGACCTGGTGGACTGCCAGAGCTCCTGGCGCCAGTGGCCCCGGGGGAGAGTGGCTAGGAGGTTAACGGGCCTCCTGGGCTGGGCTAGACCTTCAGGGGGCTTCAGCCTGATCTCTAAGTTAAGGCAGGGGGTAGGCAGGAGGAAACCTCTCCTTTGCCCAAGGCATCCTGAACTTCCCATGGGACACAGCCTGAGTGTTGGGGGCCCAGGATGGAGGTGGTGGGGGGGTGGGGACGGGAAGGGGGAAGTGGAGTCTCGGCCTGGGTTCACTTGGTCTGGTCTGTCCTTGCACAGAGGAGGAGAAGGCTGAGGCGCAGGCATTTGAGGAGGACCAGGTGGCAGGGCGCCTGAAGGAGGACGTGGTGAGTGTGGAGGGAAGGTGGTGGGAGAGAAGGGTGGGGCTGGTCCGCCCCTGGTCCGGCTCACCCTCTCCTTTCTCTGCAGCTCGAGCAGAGAGGCAGGCTGCAGAAGTCGGTGGCAAAGGAGGTGAGTGGGCAGGGCACTTTGGTATAAGATTGGAGTGAATCAGGGGTCCCGCCTGGGTTGGTGGGCATGTGGCCCAACTGGGGGCTCAGGCTGTGAGGTCTTTGCTCTGGAACGTGGTGGGTGGGCACTCGGGCAGACACGACCAGATAGGTCTGATCCTTGGAGTCCTGCATCCAGTTTGCCTTCTGGTCAGGGTGGTGGAAAAGAATGGTGCACGCATGCGTGCGCGTGTGTGTAGGGGCTTCCTGCCCCCTGTCGCAGTGACCCAGCCCTGCCCACCCAGATTCAAGCCCCAGACCCAGCCGACATCCGAGTCTTACGGGGACACCAGCTCTCCATCACATGTGTGGTCATCACTCCTGACG